AATATATAAATAAATGCTCCTTTTCGAATTATTATTCAGATAATTATTTCAAAGACAAAATAGAAAGAGACTAATAATATTAATAAATTAATAATAAATAAATAAAGAATTAGAATCTTTTATTTCATGAAAGAAAGGAAACGAAAGACTTTTGATTGATTCATTTTTTTATGCATTATGTGTTATGCAAGATTCCATGCTCTTGCTATTACGATTTCACGCTGTCATGGAATAGTTCTTTAATTCTTAACTGATGAGTCCATTGGACTCATAATATACATTATTACTAATTATGAATTAAAGAGCTTCCATATGTAATATTTTTTTCATAACGCCAGTTATGAAAGATTAATCCTCGTGTCACAAAAATTAACGAATGCGACGTATGTCGTCATCCGAAGACAAAATACAGGACTCTTCTGAAAATGAATCATCCTCACATTTATTGATATTCTCGGTCCGTCACCTCGCGACGTGGCGGAAGCGTTATACTTATAGCCAGTACCAAAATCGCCAGAATTACGCAAGGGTGAAAGCACTGCCAGTGTATGCTGTTGCATAGGAGAATTATTGGTCACGTTCATCTCGTTTCCTCACGCCTCGCAGCTACGTAATCTTCCCGATCTCGAAAAACGCTCGGCGTTAAATCACACACGTCGTTTTTTTTATCTTTAAATCTGCTTTCGAAAATCTCCCGCTGAAATTGCGGTATGGAATTGTGGCTGAAATTATATATATTATACGTACACCCTCGTCAAAATCCATACAATTATGTTCGAAACTGGTTTTTGCATCACTCTTAACGCCTCGCATGCGTCGCGTTATAAATGCTATAACTTTTACAGAAAAAAAGGTATTTTAAAACGTTTAAATAATTTCGTTTACGAAAAAAAAAAAAGAAAAACGACGACCGTAATGTATTCACGTGCTCGTAGCGTTTATGCAATAAAATTAACATTCCATGGACTGCATCAGAACGCGCGACTCCCGAGACATTCCGTGAATGGTGAGCGCGATTAAGCGATGCCGTGAGGAATTTAATAAACCGGCCAATTCGGCGTTCAGAACTTTCTTTCTTCCTCGTCCGATACACACGGTATGTATATCGGCGAATCATAAATCGAGAGCGAAACTTCTGTCATCGCATCACGTACTACGCTACTTCGAAGACTGCTTGCGATGCAATGAGGAATATGATGAGCCGCTGACCACCCCGATGCTGCTATAAATACGTTTGTCACCGTTTGTTCGAACATCAGTCTTGTTTGCGACACGTTTACCGGTACACAAAATCATATTAATCAGAAAATGGCCGTCAAGGTATGCTAAAGGATTGCACACAAATTTTACACATCAAAATCAATTATAAATTTGGAATATTTCTCGGGCAGTCTTCTATTATACTTTACTCATACAGCACAAAATTTGCAGCAATATCGCTGCAAAATATATATGTATATATGTATGTGTATATATATATAATATATATATTGCTGTAACATGCGATGTTGCTGCAACTTTTGTGCAACTTTCCAGCAAACACAAAGTTACATGTAACATACTTGTAATTTCTCACTCAACAATATAATTAATAATATACACATGTGTGTTACAGTATTATTACATTACAGTATATATTGTTGAGTGGGAAATTACAACTACAGGTATATTACATGTAATTTTGTGTTTGTTGAGTTTGTACTTATAGAGATATATTCCGTTAATATTTGAGACCATTATATAAATACTTGATATTACATTACAGTTAACAATCTTGGCTGTATCAGTGCTTGCGATATGCAGAGGCGCGGTCATACCATCGTCAGCTTTCCCGGCCATTCCAGCTGTTTCAGCTGTTCCAACTGGTCCAGCTGTACCAGCCATTCCAGCTACCTTGGCCGCACAACCGGTTTTTCCAGTTGCTGCAGTTGATACCACAAATTACGATCCTCATCCTCAATACAGTTACGCCTATAATGTCCAAGATACATTGACTGGTGATGCGAAGAGTCAGCACGAAAGCAGAAATGGTGACATCGTTAGCGGCAGTTACAGTTTCATCGAGGCTGATGGTACCAGACGAATCGTCGAGTATACAGCTGATCCTGTGAACGGATTCAACGCTGTGGTCCGTCGAGAACCCCTGGCAGTGGTGAAACCCGTCGTCGAGGTCGCCCCGCCTCCACTTGTTTATCAGCCCTGAAGGATGTGATAATGAATGACACAACAGTCCACAGAAAGAACAATTTTACTAAAGTACAAATTTAGCTAGATAAAAATTTAAAAATGATTCCCAACAAGCAGATATTACCATATTTATTGTTTTTGTTGTCAAAATGATGTCTTGAATATCAAAATGACGTTAAAATAATGGCAAGTAATATCAACTTGTTTTCCGGATTGCACAATCTAAATAAGCAACAATTTCAAGCATGATGAACAATGCTGCAAAAAAGTTTTGTCATTCTACATAATTATTTTCAAATATCTATATCTAGCTAAATTTTTAGATATTTTAGTAAAACCTTTTTTTCGTCCACAGTCACAGAAAACTAGTCACACTATATATAATGTATGTGATGTTGCTACATAAATCGTTAATTGTTAATGTATAGATTTTTATTAAAGATTTTTTTTACAAAACTGTGAATTAATTTTATCTTGACATAATGACTTTGCTATTAGTAGATTACGTGTCGACCTTTTTATTTTAATTGCATCTTTGGAACGTTATCGCGAAGCGTATTTCATAAATTTGTATTTTCATAAATTTTTCGTGAGTTTATACAAAACAAGTTACAATGAACGAATTAATGTTATGCGAATAAAGCTGTTAAATTATATAATGGCATGTAAATTTCGCAAATCGGGTCATAAACTCTCTTTTGTGAATATAACTGAAAGTTTACAGATTATCATATTATATACACACATATATCGCAAACTTACAAGTGACAAGTTTATATGAAATATATATTATACTGTGATATTTATATTTTACATATTACATAGGAATCCCTAAGAAATACGTATTATTGCAAATTTAATTAATTATATAATAGCAAAATGAAAATATAAATAAAAAAATCTTTCAAGTAAAATAGTAAAATAAGATTCATATAACTTTTGATATCCTTTGTAATCATAAGATTTTTAAAAAATTTTCTTTTTCAAAAAAGGTCATTGCTTTCTCTCAAAAATTAATAACGTATTAGTTGATGAATAATTTTATATAGATTGCCAAGTTTGTCTTGATGGCGGCTATTAAATTATATCCGAATATACATTCTAAATAAAAAATAAAATAGAAGTAATCTCGATTATATATAACAATAAAAAAAGTAAAAGAAATAAAAATGACGAAAGTGACCTTTTGCACATAATTTTTTTAATAAAATTAAATTATTGCTTCAGATTATTTTATTAAAAATGAAATACGTTTTTGTTGATACGAAATTGATTGCTTGAAGCAACTTCAAGTATAAATATTACAAATATGTACAGTTTTAATCTTTAAGAAAATATTAGATTTACAAAAATGTTTAAAAAAATCTTCACGTTTGTCCATTTTTAATTGAGATATATTCGACACTTTCAAGATAAGAACGTATGTAGACAGCACATACAACTATTGCTATGAAATATAAGTGAGAATTATAATTATTATAGACTAACAACAACTAACGCAAATGGCAATTAACACAATAGTATATGATTCGTGTTAGCACAACTCGTGTTAGCATTACTCCTACTGAATGTATAATAAAATTCAATCGATTACATGTGTGGCCGTCTTCTGTTGCTTTCGTCGAACAGCCTTGATAGAATGTCTGTATTTGACATATTGGCACACAACACGTATGAATACGTGCATTGGGTACGATTATGCGTATTTCGGTTATCAATTGCTCGCTCATATCAGGTTTAGTATATATATTAGGCAACATGTTTGTTCATCCTTTTCTAAACATTGGAGCTGGTAATTTTAAAAACACTTCTTCCTTTCAGAAAAATTATCACAGAAGAGTTATATTTAAAAAAAAAATCATCATATATTGAATGAAAATGTTATAGAATAATATTTACTCAGGATTGGGAAATTACTTAAAAGTAACGCGTTATCATTATTTGCAGTAAAAAAGTATTGGGTTATCCGGAAAGTTCGTGCCGATGTTGAAGGAAAATTTAAACGCAGAAAATTTAAATTTTAGTATACATTTATTAAATTATATAGATTAGTCGGCACGAACTTTTCGGACAACCCAATAACTTGTTACAGATTCTAAAAAGCAATTTAAAAGTAACGATAAAAATTCTTACTTTTCGTTACTTTTTTTTTGTAATTATGGAAGAGACGGGCTCACTCATCAATTTTGATGGAATTAGGGTTCGTATTTTTGCACGAAATGAACGAATCTGACAGAAAAATAAGTGTCGCTCAATCCGGCGAATCAAAATTGATTAAAGTTGACTATTGAGATAAGGAATTCTGTTAAATTCATTTATTTCGTGCAAAAATGCATTGAATGACCCTAATTTCATCAAAATCAATAAATAATCTGTTTCCTGTATACACATATAATTATATTTTTTTAAGTATTAAAATAGGCTTCTAAAATAGAATGCTAAGACAGAATATAAATTAAACATAAGATATTTAGGAAGATATTTATCTTCGAACATTTATATTTTTTATTAATTTTTTACATACTTATATTTAATTCTATGATATTTTATTATAGATATTTTAGTTTTTAGTGTTCTTATGTTAAAACGAGGATAGTGAATTAAACAAAAATAGGCAAGAAGTCTTTTGTTTATTTAGTATCTATAATCTTATTCGTGATGGCTGACCCATAAAAAAGTAAGAATAATGGGATCAATTTTGTTACCGTTACTAAAGAAAATGTAACGTTACTTTTTCGTTACTAACAAAAAAGTAACGGTGTTAGCAAATCGTTCCCAAAAAAAATGTAATGAAAATGTAACATCGCGTTATAAATAACGCGTTACTTCTCAACCTTATATTTAATGTTATGTAGTTTCTTTTTTGTTATATGTCTTCATCTATAATATCGTCTTTAAATTGCTACTCTTAGCATTTTCCTGTCGAAATGTCACATAATTTGCTGTCGAGAAAATTTCCTTCAATTCGAATATACATATATGAGTTGCATCTTGCTTCTAAAGTCTAAAGCTAAATCTGTACAAAGCCTAATCTGTATAATATGCTTTTCGATTCCTGTTTCTTGCTTTTTGTCTCTTGTTTTTTTTGTCTTTGCAGTCGTTCGAACGACAATCGTGTTTCGTTATTATCACTTGCTTTTTGTTTCTTCCCAAATCCGTTAACTTTTATCTCGCGACAGAAAACGACGACAGAATAACAAACAGAATAAAAAACAAGAAGTAAAAAACAGTAAAAAGTAAATAAACAAAGAAAAATACAGATTGAGCTCTCGAGATATTAAACTAATAATTAATTAAAAAACGGGCAATTAAGAGTTTTAATACGCAATAATTAGTGCAATTATATTTTCAAACATAATGCATTTTACATCTACATTAATTACTGTGTATTAAAACTCTCAATTACCATTTTTTTAATTATTAGTTTAGTAAAAAGTAAGAAATAGGCCATGTTCGTAATTAATTCTTATTTTAAGATCGTCTTAAGATAATACGATTCTGTAATTCTTGTAACATCTTGAGACTGCACTTAAGAATGTAAGAATCAACTTGAATACCGGCCATAGGAAGCAAAGAGCACATTGTAGATTAAGCTATAGACTCCGTATATATTATTTTTCCTAGGTGTGTATAATTGTCCTATCGACAGCTAGAAAGGCGAGGAAAAAGAGAATGAGGGTCTTGCAGCGTGTTCGTATTGAGGTACACAATTTCACGATTTCGTCGAATGACCTCGAGGTCTGGAGTCTTCGGTATATTGGCATCCAAGTCGCGTGTACGAATGGACAGCGGTGATATGAAGAAACATATAAGCGCGCGTACATTAGTACAACCGCAGGTCGGACCTCCTTGTACATCGCAATGATCATCACGGAGGTCACCGTACGGCCTCTGAGAGGAAGACATAGAAAAAGAAAGAAGGAGACAGAAGCAATGATTAGGTGGGGCGTAGGTGGCTGTAGGGAGCATCATCGTCGTCAGATGACACAAAAGCGACGACGTATAAAAGTACGGACAATCTTACCCCGAGGCATCAGTCCTCTTCTGGTGATCCTCTTGCACACAAACATGGTCAACACGGTAAGGAAGAAAAGAGAGAAGCTGGAAGAGATACTCAAGCATTAGAATCTTTTTTTCAGCTATCCTTTGAAATGACTGTGTCCGAAAGACTGTATTTTAAGTTAATCGAGTCCCAGGCTTATTTAAGTATTTTTTTAATTATCATTGAATATCAATGACCGCGCATGTGTAAAAAAATCTCGACTACGTTCGATTTGGACTCCTATGTGCTGTAGCTTCATTCTATCTTTACTGCTTGCATCATACATTACTACGGAAAAAAGATGGAATGAAGTTTACAACACGTGAGCGTCAAAACCGAACACAGATCTTGTGTAACATTACTATAAAATACGCATTAATGCTAAAGTGTTTTAAGGTTGGAGAACAGATGCAGAACATAACGTATAAGATATAAGAAAATCAACTAATTAGAATCTTTTGTTTCATGGAAAGGAAGGAAATAAAGGACTCTTCTTAGTTCATTTACGTATTGCATACGTTATGCAAGACTCGGTGCTCCCGCTCTTAAGGCTGTAGTAGAAAGGCTGACTTATAATCTTAAGACGCAATGTCTTGTTAAGTCTTATGGGTCTTTTGGGTCTTATGGGTCTTCTGGGTCTTATGGGTTTTCTACAATAAGCCATTAGTCATAAATCAAAAGCTAAAAATTAACGATTGTGATTGGTTAATTTTTAGTTTCTGACTTCTGATTTATGACTAATGGCTTATTATACAATAGAAGGCCCATTATGTCTTTAGTAACGCACAAGAATTGTCTTATGACTTATATCTTAAAGGTACTTCATATATATATACATTTTAAGACATAAATCATAAGATAGTTCTTATGCGCTACTAAAGATATAAGACTTAAGACACTGTCTTAAGATTATAAGGCAGCTTTCTGCTAAGAAAGCTCCCAGAGATTCGACAAGATAATTGGAGTATTGCTGATTTCATATTGATTTTCAGTTCTTTTTCTTTCTGGGACTGGCGATGCTCGCTCGAGGGGCAGTGGTGCCTGCCGTGCCAGCGGCAGCAGCGGTGGTGCCTCTGGCGAAGCTGGAGGAGTTCGATCCAGCGCCACAGTACAGCTTCGCGTATGACGTGCAGGATGCGGTGACCGGTGACTCGAAGGCTCAGTATGAGACCCGCAACGGCGATATCGTACGCGGCAGTTATAGTCTGATCGAGGCCGACGGTACGCGTCGCATTGTCGAATACACCGCGGACCCGATCAACGGCTTCAACGCGATTGTCAGCAGAGAACCAGTGATTGCCGCGATCGCCGCACCAGTATTACCGCTCAGACCGGCCGCGTTGACTCCAATTACCATACCGACAGCATCCGCCGCTGCCCCGGCACCGTCGATTCCTGCCGTCGGGCCCGATTCCGATGTCGAGGTACTCGATACCCGGTCGGGTCCCTTAAAAGCGAAACCAACGACGCGCGAGCAAGAGATCCAACGTCAACAGTTGCAACAGTTGCAGCGGCTGCAGGAGCAACAGCACCAGCAACAAGAGCAACAGCAGCTGCGACAATTGCAGCAGCTGCAGGAGCAGCAGAGACGGTCGTCGAAATTACAGATTCAACATCATCAACCACAAGAGCAGCAGCAGGAACAACAGACCGCGCAACAATCCACACGAATTGTCGGATCAACGGCTGGACAAATCGAGCGACAACAAGTCGCGAATCCCCAATTGATCGGTCTTCCAGCTGCTGCCAGGGCGATAGCCACGTATCCCACTTACCCTTACGCCGCGTATAGCGCCGCGTACTCTTCGCCGTTCGCTTACACTGCACCCCTCAACGGCCTGACTTATACCCCCGCCGCCGCATTGACGTAAATCCACTCGTATCTACCTCGAATTATTATTTCTCCGCACGGAAAAAAATAAATAAATAAATTGGGTGGTGCAGCAAACCTATAACTTACTGCGCGAATTCAACATCTATAATTAAGAAGGTTTAACAAATCGTTATAATGTTATTATATACAAGCTATATATACAAGCTGTCAACTTTGTTACTTTGTTACATAGAAAATTGATTGTTTTGTATATTACGACTGTAGATTTGCTGAATCAGTAAAGTTTTCAGCTGTGTTTTTTTTCCATGCGTATTATTTGTTAAGATTATTGACGACAAAAACTAGAATAAATTGTTTACCATGAGTTACTTATATATACGCATATCTTATTTCTTTTCGATTGTTTCCTTAATACCGAAACACAATAAGCCTTAAACTTTATGAAAACTGATCAATTACATAATCGATTGTGTGAGAGAGAGAGAAAAGAATAATGACTATAATTGGTCAATTTCTTCAGGCTATTTCGGAACTTATGAAAAATACTATTAGAATTGCGTGAAAAAAATTATTGAAAATGATTAGAAAACCATAAATCGGGTTCTATTATACCAATTTTTCACTAATCTAATAATACTTTTTCATAAAATTTCTGCGATTGACATCTATCAATTTTGGGCGATATTCATAATTCGTTTTTATATTTAAAACTAACTTTTATATTTAAAACTTAAGTAAGGTATACAAAATTAATCTGAGCATCAGCATTTTAAGACATTACTTAAAACGGTCTTGAAATAAGAATCGATATAAATACTAGCATTTATTTTAACCGAAAAACACGAAGTAAAAAAGTGTAATTGGCCGAAATGATAAGAGAGACAACCGCTGACGAGACAGTCAATATATCCTAATTGATTACGTTTGATTATCTTAGGTCGCACGCATGCCACAAAAATTGGCATGTGCGCATCAAGTAAAAGCGACGAACTCTGGATGTGCATCGATCAATGTCATCAACGAGTTGATCGGTTGTCATGTTGGAGCCCAATCCATCCAGCGTTCGCTATTACGTAAGTCGGGCCTGTTGTTACGCGCACCGGGCCCCTGTCGTCGTCTTTACGCAACACACGCCACGTATGCATGTATAATACACGCATGCACGTAAGGCGACCTTCGGCTACGCGCGATGCGTAAATAATTTTAACGGTATGAAAAGAAGATCATTATTACGATCATTAGTCTACAAATCGTAAAAACATGGTAATTGCCGTCTTCTTTGGAATGTCTTCATTTCACTCTTGATTGGCAGTTTAAAATAAAAAGAATTGCCTTTTTATAATATGTCATTATCGTCGTCGCATTTTCTTGAAAAGGGTATGTTTATATGCAACCGTAACATGTACAGAAATTATATCAATTATTGAACGAAATATTTTACGTTTGAGAAAATTATATTCTGCGTAATATTTAAATTTTTTCAATGAAAATGAAAATGTTTATGATAAAAAAGATTATTTTTTATTATTGAGAAAACTTATATATTGATATGTAGAATCCTTGAAATAGTATGAAAAATGTTTCGTTTCGAAATCTCTTTTCACAGAGTAAGTAGTAAAGGTCAATGGATCAGGCAAGTAGACGCGCACTAGATGTCTGCCCAGTGAGCGATGTTTACTACTGTAATAGCTTTTTTAACGTAAAAATCGTTGACATGGTAAAATCAAGTAAAAGAACATGTTTTTATATATAATTTTTTAAATTATGTCATAACTATTTGGTTAATAACCAACTTATTTATAATTATTTATTGCACTAACAAAAATAAGAACACAAAAGAAATAGTAAATATGCAGAAAGTATATGAATATAAAAAAAATATAAACGCATCAAGATTGGTAATTATCGTTTTTTAAATAAAATATTTGTGTATTTTTTTTTATAAATCATGTAAAATATTTTATTTTTTAAATAAAAGAATTTTCTTTTTAATAGAACACTCACTTGAATAAAACCATTTCTTGGAAAAACATTGGTTCCTTTTTGTTGAAATCTCTGATAATTTAGATAGATACAGATCTGAAAATAATTTTGTTGGATCATCAAAATAATTATGTAGGAAACTCAAGCATGATGAGAACAAAAAGTTCGCAATGTTACAAAAAGTTTTAACATTGTATAACAACCAGTTTCAACGTTTTATATATTATTTTGATAGTGTAACAAAATTACTTTTAGATTTATATCTCTAGCTAATTATTTTGAATATTTCAACAAAATCGTTCTTTTCTTGTATACTTTTTTATTTTATATATGACGCAAATGCTTAAACAACATATAACATATAATTAATATAAAAAAATTTTGGCTAACATAAATTTTTAATATAAATCAATTGGAATTCAAGTATTACGATGTTGTTTGCATCGTTTATTACGAAAGATTATGTAAGACTTAAGCTATTATTTGCAGAGACACGTCGTCCAGGAACTACATCGGTCATTCCTCGAATAAAACAGAAGTTTCAAGAAAGAAAAGAGTAACAGTAATTCGGATTACAATGTCGTAAAAAAGCGGCATCTCTCTCTCTCTCTCTCTCTCTTTCTCTCTGTTCGTCTCTCCAAGTTAAGACGGAGTGCAGCGGAACGAAGAAGAAACGAGAAGGAGAGTGGTTCGCATTCGCGAATCGACTTTCACCGAACAGAAAACGCGACTGCAGCCGCGGCCGTCAAAGAACCGCGCCCAATGTCACTATGCGGCATCTCGTAATCGCGCCCCGTATTACGTACGCACAAAAGACCGGTCCACTTTTAACAGAGAGACCGGTCTGGAATCTGAGCGAACAGGCGAATCGCCATGGGCGAAAACCGAATCGCGACACATCCTACGCTGATCCATTATAATTTTAATTACCGTCTCTGACTTTGACAGTTTATCACTTACCTATCAAGCATTTTTGTGGAAAATTGATAAGAGGAAAAAAATGACTGGTTTCATTGAATTTTTATTATTATTTGATTCCTCATTAAATTGAAATTTGAGAAATGAAGGGAAACATGATATATTCAACGAAATACAGCCGTAGAAAAAATCGCTCCTCTCATTCGATTGTGTCAATTTATCATAAGGCATAACTAATTACGCAGGGCCATTTAACGCGATGCGTGAAATTGCGTCGTTATTTAACGACATTAACACTCGATTTGCAAAGCATGCACGTAGCACTTGCGATAACTGCAACTATATCGTGACTGGAGTATCCTATGTTTAAATTGATGAATTAAACGAGCAGTACATCGCACACCCATGTCAGATTAATTCAATCAGATTAATACAATGTTTATCTTCATTTTACTTTTATATTAAATTATACTTTGCTATATTAAAAGAGATCATGACTATACAAATTCACGTAATTATCGGGATAAATTGTTGGCAAATTTAACATAGTCTTTTATCATCATTTAAAACAAATCATCGCTTCTCTTTCTTTCTCTTAAATGCAAAAAACTCATGCTGCCTTTTTTATATAGATATTAAATTAAATCTATTTCACATTACAATATTAAGTGGCAATTTATTAAGGATGTAATTTAAAAAAAAAATGTCTACAGTAATTTAATTGCGATGAATCACGAAATCAAATCGAAATGAACGAAATGTACTGTCGGCTTTAAACAGATGTTTTCGACAAAACGAATAAAAGATCCTGCATGTACGATGCTCGACAGAATATTTGAGCTCACCGATTAAGGTTACATGATTTTTTTATTATTTAACCACACTCACGCGGATCAAGGTTATCAACGAAAGTGAAAAAGGGGTCGAGTAAGTGCTGCACTCACTTAATGGATATCGAATGTTTCCCCAAACTCGTTGAAAAATTATCGCTGTCAACTGATCTTCTTACTTTTTATAAATCACTGTCCGGCGATGATATCCACGGATGAAGCTACAAGTAAAATTTAAATCAAGGATCTTTCTTTAACCCCATCATTTCTCATCGGCGCATCGTAATCTGAAGGATCGTCTCATTTTAAAGTGCATAAGCGAAGCAAATGTTACGCCCGTTAAAGCAATCCATTTTATTATTAATGGTAGTTGTCATGCGCGTCAGATAAAAAAATGAGGAAGAATATAAAGAATTAATTCTTTATATTCTGCCTCATGATTTTATCCTTTTTCGTCAATAATTATTTATTTGATGCGCATGACAATCGGCATGTTAACCATTGAGAAAATTAGAAAATGTAGAGGATTTTCGGCTCAGTTGAGTCCGCTCTATCTACA